TGTATTTAGACAGCTTGAGAATATATCTTCTTTACTGATAAACGAAAAAAAAATACATATATAAGGATTTTAAATATTTATTTTTAATACTAATATATTGACTAGATATAAATGACTCTTAATTTAAATTTGGTTTTTCAGCGCAAATTTGTTAAAAAAAATCGTAACTTAAAAATTCGAAGAAGTTATTGAAGACGTCCTTTCTGCGATATTTCTTCAATCTCTTTGAATTCAAGTTTTGATTATATTTCTTTTTTTCTTAAAAACGTGTGATTTTGCTGTTATCTGGTGTACCTGGCAATGAGGATTGTGACGAATGGGGGCTGCCAGGTTGTGGACGTGGTGGTGGCCTCTGTGGATTTATGTTTGCATTAGCCTGACGTAAATTGGCAAAAAATTGTTGGCGACGTGGTCCTCCACCACGTAATGGAAGAGTTGGTATTTCGCTTGGCGATTGATGAATTTCTTCTTGAGAACAATTTCGCATGGCTGGATTAACGCATTCGTAAACACTCTGTGGAATAGACAAAATAAAATATAAATTTTTTTTTTAATAGAAATTGTTGAATATAAATCAATTACTAATAATAATAATTAGAAAAATAAAGTTTCACTTTACTTTGAGAAGAAAAAAGAAATTCATATATAACGCATGAGAAATAATTATTTTATTTCGTTTAAATTAATGTTTATATAGAAATATAATTTCAATAAGTGTTAATTTAATAATTTAAATTAATAAGTGTTAATAATTTCAATATATATATAACATTTCTTATTATATGTATTTTAAAATGATAGGATCATGAAAATAAAAGTATAATAATTTTTAAATATATCGTCTTTATATTCTTTTATACTTTTTAGTTTAGATAATTCAACATAAAAATTATTTAAAACATTAAAAAATTATTAAAAACAATTGCTAGCGCTAATTAATTTTATCACACTTCTAGAACTTACCTGCTCTGATGAATATTGGTTATTTTGCGCAAAAGCCAGCGATGTGAGTGAGGGTAGGGCCTGTGCTATATCCGAACGTTCAATACCACGTACTATTAGAAATGTTCTTGGTATTAGCACGCCTACCAATATAGCCCAGCCAGTTGCTTGTAGTCCTAACGGTATAGCAGCATCTCGCAATTCATCACCGAACAAAGCCATAGTTATCCAAATTATCCATATAATGAAGACAAGTACAGCGCCAATAACAATTAAAATTCCTTCTCTATAATTTCGTTGGGATCGATATATGAAAGGCACTAAACCTACTACACATAGCAGTAGTATTAAATCGTATGCCATTAGCGCCCAAAGCCAGTGGCCATAATACATGTTTTCGCAGGATACACTTTCTGAAGCAACTTGCATCACAACCAGCAATTGTATGGACATTCCAAGTTGTACGAATATGCTAAAAATGCATATAACCGCCTGTATGTACCCATTTACGTGGGACAAAAAGCCACCTTCAGACCCAATGGAGGCTAACATAACTGCTCGACACAACAACAGCGAGAAAGCGAAGCAGTACACAAGCGTCATTAAGAATACTCGTACAGCACAGAGCGTATTTAATGTACTCGCATCTTCAAAGGTGATATGGGAATTGGGATGTTCACCCACATACTCCATAGAGAATGGAATAAATGAAGTAAATAGTAGTATAAGTGAGAGTAATAATAATATCGAAGTAACTGGATTTCCTTCGAATACATCGCCCAATGAAATTCGCACTACAATGAATACCAAAATTGCTAACGTAATGATAACACCTAATATTGCCGCTGTCATGCCTGTGGCGACCCAAGTATCGAGCTTCAAACGCCAAAACATAACCGATTCACCATCAAATAAAAATGGATAACGTGTATTGTCTCCTGTGCTATATTGGCAATTAAAAACTTGTCCAAATTTGGTTTTCAGCTCAACACTGGTGTGATTTTCACGGTTGTAATGATAGTAGGTGGTAACATTGCTAACAAAATTCTGAGCAGCAATTTCAAGCAACTCCATTTGGTTCTCAGCAGAATTACTATCTATCTTCTTCTTTTGAAACATCTGAAAGTTCATTAATGATGCCAATTTACGCATGCGCAACAAATCCAACACTTCTGCTAGTTCAAGCTGTCTACGCTGGTCAGGAGCTTGCCAGTCTTCTATGAACTTTAGAAAGTCAAGGCAAGTATTAAAAATGATGGTATCGTGTTCACGCTTGCAACTCTTGATAAGAGAACCTTTTAACCACCGCATGAGATCAAGTAGCGGGTTCGCTAGTGCTAAAACACGCGAAGGTAATACAGTTTTGCCTATCAGCGCCTCATCCAGAGTGAGTTCTGTCACATTTTGATCAATAACACGCAGATCAATCTCATTCTCCATCAACACAAAGGATTTATTTGGTAAGTCTAGAAAACAATAAACGTAACATTAAAAGATTTGAAGATACCATTTTACTCGTATGTAGAAGTTACCTGTGATAAAATCACGATCAGTTCGCTCAGTAGGCACTGCAAAAACGGTACCATTCTCTTTGAAATTATTAGCCATTTTATTACCGAATAAAATGTAAATATTGTATTCGCTTTTGAAGTGCATTAGACACATGTGCTCGTGGCGCACAGCTTCCATGAAGTCATTGTAGATCTCCAAATTTTCTGTCACTATTTCAACAGATGCAATTTTTTCACCCCACGGCATTTGATATAGTAAATGAGCAACTCTGGGAAATAGAAACGCCCTTGTTTTCGGAATAGGCCAGATATTGTATTCTAAAACTTTAATTGTATCTTCCATACTTTTGTAAAGGTCAAAGTCTATAAAGATGCCTATTGCATGTCGAACACATTGCTGCAAATATTCTACTTCCTGTATCAGCAGATTCTCGGCCAGACTTTCAGATTGTACATAAATGGCACGCATACCTAGATAATTCAAATATTTATCATCATTATGTTATTTTATATTTCACTATCGGGTATTTACCGATTTCGAAATCTGCTTCGATTATATTGGCCTGGTTTATGCGATTCATAACAAACAATGCTGAGATGGTGTCTGTCGTCAGTACACTTACTAACACGTCTCGTTCTATCACATCAACGAAATCCTCTTCATAAATGACATTGGTACTATCTTCCGCAGAATTGTATATTGTAGCTTTGATACCATTGAGGCAAATATCGGGTACACCATTGGTTGTAGTGGAACTGCTACTGCCATCAGAGTCTGTTGTGGATGTAGAAAGTACGGTTGTGGAAGACGGTTCTGTTGTAGTTGTTGTTGTACTAGTTGAGGTTATAATTGAAGGTCTTGGTTTTGTTATTTTGGGCAGATTTGGTTTTTTCGTCGGTGGATTATCGGCTATGGAGGAAGCTATCAAACAGCATAGCAGACAAAGGAGCCACAGTATTGCTTAAAAGTATATAAAGAGTTATATAAATTTTACGTACATACTAATTTTATTTTTATATGATATTATTAAATATATTTTTTTATAAAGTCAGAGACATTCAAATTGTTTTCTCATTTTGCTAATTTTCTTAATGGAATATGATGATAAGTGTTCGATGAAGACGTATAAAAATCAACAGATGCAGACGACATATATATTATAATACAATAATTGCCATCTCTAACAAAGATTTCATAAATATAGAAGTAGTAGCAAAAAACAAAACTTATTATCATTGTAATTGTTAAATCATCATTGTAATTGAATATCATGTAATTGAAATTCGGATATACAATACCTTGGAATCCACATCAAAACGTAAAACATTATAATTTCCATATATAAGTACTATTTCACTTTATACAAAGACATTTTTTTCTGATATATATGTCTCGATGATACACTTGGACATTAAGAACTAAACAGCGATATAACCATTAACTAGAGAGATTTTATCGGCAACCCAACGTAATGACGATTATAAAAACAAATGAACTAAGATACACAAGAAAACTAATTGACTTCATGAAATCTTCTCCTAAATATGTTGTAGGAAGCCTAAGCCTATAATACTAAAAGAATCAAGATAAACAGGATTGACCAAGATGTAGTTAACAGAGCTAGAACTAAGACGTTGTAAAACGTAAGCTTGTGGTAGTGATGGTTGAGCGTGAAAGCTGCATAAAGAAGAGTCTCGAATGGGATTACCTTATTAAAAATACTTGTGGCAAAAAAAATAAAGGTATTTCAAATAGAATTTTTATCTTAAAAAGTCAGAAGCATAATATAATCTGATTTCTTAGCCACAAAGATATAAACTGTAATGAAGATATGAAACCTAAATATAATAATTAAACAAAGATATAGAGCATTCTCTAAGATAAAAGTTAGACTAGAAATAAAAGAGAGAGTATGAAAAAATATTGATATACTAACCCCAATGTAACATTACATAAAGCAAAACTCTTAACAGTTATATTCTGGGAAAATATATTTAAAGAACCTGGCGTTTATAGGTCGTTTATATATAGAATATTATAAATACATTTTTTTAAAGAAAACTAAACTTTTCTAAAATTAGATAGCTCGTGTTCATCTGAATAATGTTAGTAATAAAGAAATGAATAGAAACGCTAATAAGAACCCTTGTCATAATATAAAAAAAGTTCATTTTTATGCAAACTAAGTGAGCATTCATCTGTAGACGTTTTGAGATAGAAGAAAAATTTTAGTGTATAGAAGAGAAATACACACAAGTAATTCGGTTTTCATTTAAAATTCTTTCAATCGCGCTTTATTCTTTATCAAGATTAACTTAAATTGAACATATATGTTCTACAATTTATAAATATATATTATTAAAATAAATTTGATTTATTAATTACATTATACATTTTTTTGATATGCTTCCTAGTATTATTATATTATTATACTATTCTACTATTCACTGAATCCTTAACTTATAGCATCCTAAAACATGTTAAGGTTTATAAGTAATTGGTCAACAAGTTTTAAAACTATTACTTTTATTTAATAATGTTCTAACAGAATTTATAAAAATTATTGAAACGGTAAAGTGTTGTCTGCAAGAATTTTACTACGTATATACCAACTTTTCTAATATTCAAGACATCTAAAAATTCTAGGTATATTGTCAGATGATCAGGCAGATACAGAAATATTTTTATATTCAGAAATTTGACACAAAATGGGAAGCTTGTGCTTTCTTGAATAGGAAAAAAAATGTAGCAATCTTATTGAGACACCCAGATAGAGAATATAGACTCTATAGAAAATATAGAGTGTTGCTATTAATTTATAGCGTACTCGTTAAGCAAAAGATATTCAAAAGTATCTTTTGTGTTTTTTAAGCCATATTTAGTTTATCTTACATATTTAGTGTTTTTTGAAGAAGCTGTGTGTGTGTGTGTGTGTGACTAGAGAAATATATTTTCCTATCTAAACTTGATTATTTATAGCAATATTCAAGGTACTTATTATTTTCAGATATATGCAACAGTTTTCAATATAAATGACTATAAACTAAATGTTTTGTGTTATGAATTTGTATTCATAAATCATAAGATGAAGATTTTAATATATATTATTTCAAAGTGTCTCAATCGCTACTCGGCGTCATTGGTATCATCTGTCCGTAAAATATTGCATTATTGCCTTTAATAATTTTACTCGTTCATTAAAAAATATAGTTCTTGCAAAACAAGTTGACTATATCTTTTGGTCCGTATTACATTCTGAGTTAAAGTACACTGCTCTGTCATACATATAAAAATCAATGAGGTCAATTTTCTTTGACCCATTCTCAATTTTAAAGCCGATGAGTGATTGACAAAAGTGCTTTTATTGGTAAATTCCTGATTCATAGTTTCTTCTATTATAGAAAGGAGTATAGTATCTTTCATTAGAAATAATCCTACTAACCTTCTAAGTAAATTATTTTCAAATTTTTATTATGCTTATGATTCATTCAAGCTTCTATAGCTATGTACTTGTTTCATATATGACTAATAGTCACATCGTTTGTTAGGCAAATTCGTTAGAATTAGTAAAGAAGAATGTTAATTGGAATTTTACAAAATAATTGGATATTATCCAAAATTTAATCAAACCTCTGATTAAACTTACCACTTAACTGCTTGAAACTCAACATTCTGAATTTCCAACTCATGTTGAATTCCGTGAAATGTTGCCACTTTTTTCAATCGTTGCTCCAATTTGTTGCTTTACTTCACTTTTTAGGGTTTGAGAATTTTTTTTTTTATTGTTAACGTTAAAGTGTGTTAGGCACAATTTTATTTTATTTTGTTTTATTTTTTTTTAGAAAATATACATCTATTTTCAATATTTAGATACAGCCATATATATTTCAGAAAGAAAATAACTGTTTATTTGCACATTATGGTATTTTTTCCACCAGTTTTTTTTATTTATTTTTAAGTAGATTTAAATTTTTACTTTCGTATTGTTCAAGTGTTGCATTCTAATCGCATTAAAGAACATAACAGTCACATATAATTTATTTACATAGAACTGTTAAATAAGAAGTCTATGATAAATACTCCAAATAGAAATACAAATGAATCTATATAAGATTTTACGAGTATATCACTTATTTCACTGATTTATGCATGTGGTTTCTTATAAGGAAACTCATAAACATTGGGTATTTGTTTCAACTTAGAGATATATTATTATCTCATCTATGTTTCACATCATATGCTGTGACATTAAATCACTAGCGTTTTGTGAACAGTACGAATAAAACTAAATTATAGCTGCAAAAATGATTACTTTTTGAAATGTTGTTCTTGATATGAGCCAGAAGCTAATAGGAGCTAGATCCATTATATACCTCCAATTCAAATTTTATCGATTAATTCGTTTTACTGATTGTTTTTTGAACTGAGTGAGTAATTTGTTTAGAAAGAACATGAGTTTAATTTTTTTTGTCGGGCATGATTTTAAAAATATTTGGAACCATTTTGTTGAAACAAAATAATAACCTGACTTTATTATTTTACCAGTTTGAATGTAACATACAACCTAATTTATATATATTATACAATCTATATATACAATCTAATTTAATCTAATATATGTACATACAACCTTACTTTTGGATTCCAAAAAATTGACAGCTACACTATCTTGGCTGATTTCTTAGCATGAACTCGCTCAAAAAATGAAGAGCCCAGCTCACAGTACTCATTAGCCTTAGCAAGGTGAGAAAATAATAAGCAAAATTTATTTAAATAGCCTTTCTGAAACTTTTTAATCGCACCATTTTCGCATAAGAATACGTTTTTAATGCAATGTTAGTGACTATGGATCCGTTGTGAAAACAACTTTTAAAAACTGAAAACTTCTCATAAAATATTACTCACTACTTATAATAATTATTATTATCTACATATGTATTACTCAATACTTAGAACTTTTAGAATAAACCCGTTTTGTTAATCGACAATTATGCAGTTTTGTATTGCAGTTTAAGTATACCAGTGTATCTTACAATTTTTAACTCATCTTACTTTTTTTCTATTTTGGAGATGGTGGACCTTGATTTATAATGTCATTTGTGATATCCCTGAAGAATATACTATAAGCTAAACCAACAAATTAGATTTAATGATAGCCAGATCAATATATTAAAAGTGTTATTAAGAACCCAGTGATAAATTTGTCTACAAATCTGTTTTGATTAAAAAACTGCTGGCATTATTTTCTTGACTCGAATGAACTGTTTTGATATCCTTAGTCCTTCGGAAGTGGCTCATTACTTGCAAATAATTTTTTTCAAATGTTTCTAACTACTAATGCAGTCTGGAAAGTTGATGCGGCTCTAATTAAGTGTTCCAAAATCTGTCTATATGTATGATGATTTTGTTTTTTGGGGGTTATCTTGTACAGATTTTAATGGCATGCATTTTTGCATGATGGAGTGTGAAAAAATTTTTCATTTGATAACAGCAGCGAGATACCTGTTTTCAAAATTTTATCTACAGGTAAACAAAACTCACTGTCTTTGTCTTCTACGAGTCTGCGTCCAGGAACGCTAAATTGAGTGTCTGTAAGTTCGAGGCCCTATGCTCCAATGGGAGACCCAGGAATTAATGATGATGATTTAAGTAAGTTTTGTAAAGAACAGATATAAACTATTGGTTCTATGGTATCCTAAAAGAAGTGTGTGCCTTTTGTACCATTTTTCTCAAGGATATAGCAGCAGATATTTACTAATTAATGTTTAACTGTAGGTAAAAAACTGTAGTGTCTCCTCCTAATTCTATATTAGAACCAGGAGATGGAAGTGCTTTGATATTATTTCATCTGTTATGTCTTTCTTTTTGAGATTTTGGAGAAATTCTTTTCTGAATATTGTTATTGAATAGGTGTTATATAAAGTTAGTTCAATTCTATTTGAAGTTTTCGAGGCTACCAACATGGTTTTAAACAAAAGGGATTATAAGCCATCCATCCATAGCTATATGTATTGTATATATGGTAGTCTATAGAAACCTGAATCAATTCATGATCGCGATGTGCGATTCTTTTTCAATTATAATATATAATATCATATATTCGTTGCAAAAAGTACATGGATTTTATAAGAGACTGTTGTTATATTATTTCTGTGATTTGGTAGCACTGTAATTTATTACTGTTCGTTTCACTTAAAATATATTAATTTTTTTGTTGATGAATTTTATGGGAAAGTTATATCCATATTAACAAATTTTTATAAATGTATTACTTTTT